CAGGCTGGTTAGTGCTGGGCAGGGACAGGCTGGTTAGTGCTGGGCAGTGGGCACCGAGGGTGAACAGCTACCTACCCCAAAGTTAGGATCAGGAATGGCTTTCTGGAAAGGGAATATCTGTTCTCTGTATTCGAGTGGAAAATCGCCCTTTCACAATCTGGACACTAAGACACAGGAGGAGGAAATTAAGCTTTAGGCTGTCACTGCCAGACAGACAGACAGACAGCCGCAGAGCTCATTGTCCCCTGGAAGCATCTATCAGACAGTTTGGCAGAATGTCTCCGGTGAGAGGCTTTCTGAAAAGCTGTGACAGGCTATAGACGATTTGAGTTTTGAGAAAATTAAATGGGGCCTGGCATAGTGTGTCTTGGAACACCTGGGCTTGAGCCTCAGTACTACGTAAAACAACAGAAATAATGCAAGGGCCTGGTGAGGCATTTCTATTGCCAGAAAGATTGAGTGAGCCCAGCCCTAGCTTCTATCCCGCTGTCCTCGGTTCCCTGTGCCTCCTCATCTCCCGTTTGCCCTCTCCAGCCTCGAACTCACAATCTTCCTGCCTCCCTTCCAAGTATTGGAATTACAGGTGTGAACCTCCAAACCTGGCTCCCAACTGCCTGTTCTTTCCATAAGTTCTCATTCTCTTCTTCCCTTCCCCCGTCCCCCCTTTCTCTCTGAGACAAGGTTTCCTGTGTGGCCCCGGCTGTTCTCTAGAAAAGATCTGCCTGCCTCTGCCTCTGCCTCTGCCTCCAGAATGCTGGGATTAAAGGCTTGTGTCACCCTCAATGGACTCCTAAATTCTTTTCTTAAATGTTTGTGTGTGTGTGTAAGAGAGAGACAGACAGAGACACGTTCAGGTAGGTTTTTGGCCTTGGTAGCAAGCACCTTTACCAGCTGAGCCACCTCATTGGCTGCCAACCAGCCGCTGCCTTCTGTATGCACAGGCACTGAGACATTGTTACCAAGTTTGGTCTATTTCTTTTCCCTCTACAAATAATAGCACATTGTTTAATGAGTTTGCAGTTTTACCTGGCTTGATACGTTGACATGCTTGCCGGCCATCTGCAAACATTGCTTCCCGTGGCTGCGTGGATTCTGCCGTGTGCGTGCACAGCTTGTTTACACGGCTCCTCATGTGGTCCAGGCGTCCTCAGCCTTTGGAATGAGCTACACGGCTGCTTAGGTGTGTCTCCCTTGTGTACATTGTTAGCATTGTATCCATTGCTGTATCAAAGGATATGCAGACTTGAATTTTTAAGTAAAAATGTAATCTGATCTTCATTTTTACTTGTAAAAACTGCCTTGCAACTTATATGTATCTTTAGGCAGGGTCTCATGGTCAGCCTTGGTTGGCCCAGGACTTGATAATGTAGACCAGGCTGTCAGAGAGCTCACCGAGGTCGGCCTGCCTCATGGCCCCTGTGGTAATTCAGCTTTGCTGGTTGATTCTGTGTCCTGTGTCCTAAGGCTGCATCTTCCCTTGATGCAGTGGGAAGGAGACTGAAGCAAGGTGGGAGAGTGTCCTGGAGGGCAAAGCCACTGGGCAGAAGTACCGTCTAGTGTCCCTTTCCATCCTGTCTTCTGTGTAGTGAATCCTGCAGGCGCTGTAGGCTAGGGAGCTTGTGGCTTGTTTACTAAAGGCTGCCACAAGTAAACTGTACTGTAGAGTCTGTTCTCCTTGGAGCAGTATGCACTGGAGACTTCAGAAAAGACCACGTGCCTTGTGTTCTGCTGGCTCTCTGTGTACTTGGTGTAGGACTGTCACTTAGATGCTACTAGTAACTGCAGAATTTTAACTCTGTGCCAGGAGGCTGAGGTGTGATCATGGCCTCAGGTTTCAGGGCAACTTGGACAACAGTATAAAGCCCTGTCTCAAAAAAGCCCCCAAAGCATAAATTTATCCTAAAATATTTACAATTTAATTACCTGCATACCTGTGTAAGGCAACTATACACAGTAACCTCAGTTGTTAGATTTATATTTTTTTAAGGGTGTGTGTGTGTGTGTGTGTGTGTGTTTGGCACATTGAGTGTGGGGAGATCAGAAGATAGTACAAGTTTGTAGGAGTGGGGAGTAGGTTCTTTCCTTTGACCATGTAGATTCCGGGATTGAACTCTTGATCATCAGGCTTGGCAGCAAGCACCTTTGCCCACTGAGCCCTCTTGATGGCCCATTTTCCTCTTTTAAGTATAACTTTTTAAAATCTGTCTTGGATTTTTTTCAAAAAAAGTCTCTTTCAAGTGTATTACATACACTGAATATTCTTAAACAATATATCAACCCTCGTTATGGAAGAACTCTGATTTGATCAGTCTTGGTGACAATCCTCAGAAGGACTTATGTCACATGGCCCAAAACTTAGCTTGATGTTTGCTGGCCCCTCGGGGCCCAAGTCCCCTCGTTTTGTGAGAACCACTCTCAGGACCCTATCTGATTTGTAGTTTATTTCTTGTGTGCTGGGATTACTGGATGTCTAGCCTTAATTAAATAGAAAGTCGCAAATCTCCTCCCAGCTGTGTTGTGATCTGAACCCACGTGAGTGGTCAGAGGTGTGACTGCCCGTAGATGTCTGTCAGAGGTGTGACTGCCCTCAGATGAGGCCCCGTATGTGGAAGGAAAAGGCTGGATTGATGAGTGCCATGGGGTCTGTTGGCTAACAGGGTCAGTTGTCTGCTGTAGTAAAATGCTTGGCCCTGGTGACTATTGAGGGAAAGATGGTGTTTCCTAAGTTAACAAATGATGGTGTGTTTTATACCCCAGAAGGCAGATGAAACCTAAGATCTCCTTTTGAGTCTAGATGATAGAACTCAATAAGATTCAACACGTTGGTTCATAAAGAATACCCAGCTGGGTAGTGCTGCAAGTCTTTAATCCCAGCACCTGGGAGCCAGAGGCAGGCGGCTCTGAGTTCGAGGCTAACCTGGCCTACAGAGTGAACCAGGACAGCCAGGGAGGAAACCCAAACGAATGACAAAAAGGAAAAAAAAAAGGGTAGAGAATTGAGATAGGAGCGGTCCACTGGGCAAGAGGAGAGACATAACCTCCTCAGGGAGGAGGGCTTCCTCCTCAGTAGGATAAGTACTTTTGGGATTTATGGGGGTGGATGGCAGTAACGGCACTCGCTTTCCCTATGTATCTGGAACCAAAGAGACAAAGATCACAGAGTAAGAAGATCCAGAGTTTAAAAGCTCAATCTTTTTAAGGGCTAGTGAGATGGTTCCAAGAAGATAAAGACGCCTGTTGCCAAGCCTAAAAACCTGACTGAGTTCTCCCCTAGGGACCCACATAACAGAAGAAGAGAGTCAACTCTGGCAAGTTGGGTTGTACCCACGCCCTTGTCCCTGCAAAATAAATAGATCAATAAATGTCAAAAATAAGTTGAGCTTTTTTGGTTAAGCCAAGTTGAGGGTGTGTTGCATGGCTGTGTCAGCTTCCTGATGCTCCCCAGTCCAGCTGGGGGGATACAGCACCTTCATATGCCACCGGCACCCAGAGAAGCGCCACGTCCCATAGACAGAGCCCAGAGAATCCCACAGATAGGGCCCGCTCAATATTCTCGGAGGCCCTTGGGCAGTCTAGCCTGTGGGTATCTGTCTTCTCCCAGTTTCCAGAGGGCTGGAGTGAGACTGGAAGTGACTGTAGTTCTCCCTCTGGGGAATAGTGGCCCTCCTTGAAAGGTGCCTGCCATGCCCTTCCAGAAAACTGAACCATGTGTTTCAATTGTTAGATAGGCCAGAGAGTTCTAGACTATTTTCCTTTATTTATTTATTTTTTTTCATTGCTGTGGTGGTTTTGTTTTGAGACAGGATCTCATGTATCCCAGGCTGACCTAACACTGGCCTTATAGTTGATGGTCTTGATCTCCCTGTCCTCCTGCCCCCATCTCCCAACTTTTGTTATTACAACCCTGGCTGCTTTCTGTTCAGCAGACTATTCAGGTGTTAGATATTTGGGGTGATGCTGAGGCAGATGATGATTGACAGCCTGTTTGTACATAGTACGGCAGACTGGCTGGCTGGAGCACTGGCATATCTGCTGTGCTTGCACAAGGACCCACGAGAACCAAGCGTGGTTCTGGTGCTGTCTAAACCCCCAGCACTGGGGCGAGTGGACATAGCTCAGGCTGGTTGGGGCTTGCTAGCTCCTAACCTCACTGTCTTTCTGGCCTTGCGTTTCATTGTTTCTGTGAATGTCTTTAATCCTGAAAGCTGTGGTTATTTCCAGGGTTAGCTAATGGAGCAGAGGGATTGTTTCTTTCCTACGTACATTGTTTCTTTCAGCAATCCCTCAACAAAGTGTTAGTTCTGTCCTCGCTAATCCTTCCCTCTCTTTTCTCTTACAGAATCCTATTCTAAGAGCACAGACCCTCAGGTATCTACCATGGTGTTGGATCCTGAAGAAAAGATGCCAGACGGTAACTTACAGCTCTGAGCCATTATCTACACGGGTTTGGGCTTAGGCAGTGACAGGCTGTCCCTCTTGCTGTCTGTCCTAAGAAGTCCAATCAGAAGTCTTATCTGGTGACAGGGTAGGAATGAATATGAATCTATAGTCATAGAATTCTGCCTCCTATCTTTATTTCTAACTGCCGCTGAGTTGTGACTAGCGAATTCTGTCTCTACAACAATAATGCTTGCAAGGACAAGGCCGTTCCCAGACTTGGCAGTGACCTTTAGCATGCTGGCTGTGTCTGCTCGAGTTTCAGTGTGTGTGGCGGAAGCTGAAGCTCCCAGGGCCAGCTCTCCATGCTCTGCTTTATGCAACGTCTTCTCTGAACCTGAGGTCCCCTCTAGATTCTAGCCATTTCTTCCTGATTAGTGAATATGATGTAGACCAGTTTCCTAGAGGCAGAGCTCTGATTTTTTGAGTTGGTTATAGGGATTTGTGGGAAAGAGAAGAAAGCTTTGTTTTGTGGTTCAACCTAGCCATCTGATGCCTGCGGCTAAGTGGACTTTGTATGCTTCGGGTAGGTAGATTAGCCCTTTTCTGCTGGGCCTTCCCTCCTTGCATTTAAGATTAACTGTGAAGTACGGACCTTGTGGAGACACTGCTATCAGGCTTCTATGATCCCTGCTGTCACAAGGTGCCAGCACCCGTGACCACTAGCCTTTCAGCCCTGTGTGTAGGCCTTACTCAGGGCTCCCGTTCCTCCTGCTTGCAAGTGTCATCTTGAGCCTCAACTCTGTCAGAGTTGTCCAGTTCTCTTTTTTTGTGTGTCATATCCAAGAATGATTCTTAGAGTGGGTTCTACCCAGGTTACTAGTGGGCCTCGTGTGTCAGTGTTGAGTCCTAAGTGTGAGTTGTTTAAGTCAAAGTCTTGTTAAATTGTAGCCCAGGCTGACCTCAGTCTTACGATCCTCTTGATTTAGCCTCTCAAGCATGACAGTGTTCTTAGAGAAAAGTGAGGTAATTCTAAAAGTTACCCAGTGGGCATAGAAGTGTAGAATAAGAAAAGTGCATTGTGACATTGATCAGAGAGAACACAGAGTTGGGAGGAGGGAGGGCATGGATCCAACAGAGGTAAAAGGAGTCGTAGGGATGAGTGTGACCAGTACACTGCATGACATTCTCAAAGGGTTAATAAGATGTCATATTAAACTGACCTGAGACTGAGAGCGCTCCTGGAGGCTTTTGAACTTTTTTTTTTTTCCTTTGAGATAAGGTCTAGGTATAGCTGAGGCTGACCCTGCAATCTCAGTCTTTTTTCCTTACCTCCTGCGTGACAGAATAGCAAGCAGGCTTACCCCACAGTCGCTTGTCTGTCTGTTTTCAACCATGTGCATGTACCACCTGTAAAAAATTAATTTATTGGGCTGGGGATGTAACTTAGTTACAGAGTGCTTGCCTAGGATGCATGACACCCTGGGCTTAGTCACCAGTGCTACAGAAACCCTGGTATGGTGGCATGTGGCTGTGATCCCAGCACATGGGGCCTGGAGGTAAGAGAGAAGGTCACGGTCACAGTCATCCTGGGCTTCAGGCTGGTCTTTACTTATTAGACCCTGTCTTTTAAGTAAATATATATGTGTATACATGCATACCTTTACTTAAAATGTTGATTAATAAACTGTTTAGGATACAGTGTACTAAAATCAAACTGGTCTCTTGTGGACCAAGCTGTAAGATGATTTAACTTTGGGTCTAAGACTGTTTCAGTGACAGGTAGCGGCTACCAGATGCGAGTCAATGTCCATCAGAGTGAAGGCTTTGATTTCAGCATCACTGAGAGTGCTCCTTAGTGGCTTCTTATGTTGACTCAGATGGCGCTTCTGGGGACCATGGAGACTCTGCCAGCCTTGGCGCCATCAACCCTGCCTACAGCAACTCTTCCCTCCCGCATTCCACCGGGGATTCCGATGAACCCTTCACCACCTACTTTGATGAGAAAATCCCCATTCCTGAGGAGGAGGTCAGTGACAGTCTGTGCAGGGGACCCTGTGTCCTGGGGAAAGGGAAGGTTCTGCTCACCACTCATGCTTGACAGCCGCAGGTCTCACTCAGGCAGCCAGTCTGACAGCTGCATTGTCTGTCATCAGAATAAACTAGGCATTGTGGGAAGGCTTCAAACACGGATGCTAAGTGGCTTAGTGAGCATTGTTTTAAAGTTATGAAAGTATGGATTTTGTGTTATTCCTTTTCAAACGTGGTTCTGCTCCTGTGTGGGAAGTGGGTGGGGCTCAAAGGTGCCCTGTTACTTCAGTTTGGACCGAGAGCAGATAAAGAAAGGGCTGTCTCTGAGAGAAGAGGCCGTCTTATTGGTAAAAAGCGGATGACCTGGATATGTGAAACACAGGCTCAGGCAGCGTTCGCCCTGATCCTGTGCAGCTGGTGTTGCTTCTTTTTGTTTTGTTTTGTTTTTCGAGACAGGGTTTCTCTGTGTAGCCCTGGCTGTCCTGGAACTCACTCTGTAGACCAGGCTGGCCTCGAACTCAGAAATCCACCTGCCTCTGCCTCCCATGTGCTAGAATTAAAGGAGTGAGCCACCACCGCCCAGCTGGTGTTACTTCTTGATGCGTGAAAAAAACAGTAGGACGTTAGAAGGGGTGATACTCAGACTGCCTTTCCTCTCTCTTTTACAGTACTCTTGTTTTAGCTTTCGTAAACTCTGGGCGTTCACGGGGCCTGGCTTTCTTATGAGCATTGCTTACCTGGATCCAGGAAACATCGAGTCTGATTTGCAGTCTGGTGCAGTGGCTGGATTTAAGGTGAGCTCCAGTTTTAGCCCGGCAGAAAAACAAGTTTTCATTGTTGTTACTGTTACTGCAATTTTGCAGTGCTGGGGATGGACTCGGGAACCTTGTGGGCTATCTTGGATGGGCTTGCCAGGCTCTCCCGTCCTTCTGAGCACTTGTTACGCTCTTACATCCTTACATCCCTTCTCTCGCTCTCACTGAGCCGCCTCAGGCTTGAAAACCACAGGTGTGAACTGTGCCCTCCTACTCATGTGCACTTCTGTGCAGGTTCTTGTAGATTAGTAGCACTGATGAAAACAGATGAACTGCATAGCTTACACATACTGAAAGTGTAAACGTTAGATATGCCATGAATGGATAAAGTATATACAGATATTTATTTATTTATTTAAGTTTTTTTGAGGCAGGATCTCTCTACATAGCTGTCCTGGAACTCACTCTGTAGACCAGGCTGGCTTCTGCTTTCCAAATACTGAAATAAAAGGTGTGCGTAACCATGCCTGACTCAGATAATAATCTATTTTTTTTTTTTTTTTTTTTTTTTTTTTTAACCGATCTTGCCTCGAGTTTATTTGTAAAAACAGCATAGGACACTGGTCATCTGCAAATAGTGTGTGGGTAGGTGTGTCACGGCAGTCCATCTGTCTTCACGTTGGCAGGAGCCTTTTCTATGGGGCCTTCACAGGGGCCTGGGCACCTTTGGGAGCCTGGGCTGGAGCTTTGGCCTGGGCCTTAGCTGGAGCTTTGGCCTCTGCCTTGGTTTGAACCTTGGGCTTTGGTTGGCAGAGCCTACGACCCTTGGCCATGTAGCTTCGAATCCGCTTCCCAAGCTTGGGGTGAGCGATGAAAGCCAGGCGGCTGAGTTTGCGGCTTGGACCCTTTGGCATCTTGGGCTTGATGGCCTGAGGCTTCACAAGGGCCTTGATGGCCTCTGCGCGTGCACTCACTGCCTTTGCATTGTTGGCCTGCATCTTCTTCAGGCCTTTCTTGTTGTGCTTCTTGGCAAAGCGCATGTTCCTCAAGAACTTGGGGTCAACCCCCTTAAGAGACTCGTATCTTTGTGACCGGGGTTTCTTGATGCCATTTCTGTGCCATTTGCGGGACTGGTTGTGTGTGGTGTGGTTCTTGGACTTGGCCATGTCTGCACGGTAACCCGCGGCTTCCGCAGCGCCTGGGACCGGAAGAGAGCAATCTATTTTTTTATAATTTACTACTGAAGGGTATACAAAGGTCTACCACAAGGCATGCAGTTCATGGCAGAGCTATTCTCTGTTGTGAGAAACAGGCAAATGTAATGTATACATTTATATATATATACACAAATATACAAATAAATATCAACGGCAAATGTGCTGTAATTCGTGAGTGTATAGTTAGCTGTAACTCCTGAGTGTATACAGTTAGCTGTAGTGTGTGCTGGGTTGCTGCATTGCCCCCTGAGCTCTGAGCTCTGGGTGTGGTTGCTTAGATGCTGTTTGGTTGTTTCTGTATGAGCAGTTTTTCTCAGTACGTGATGTATTCATGTGGCTCTTGGGTTGTCATGGAGTGGGGAGCTTGGTGTCTCCAAGCTCCTGTCTTAGTTACTTTTCTAATCCTGTAACAATGCTGTGACCAAGACAACGTATAAAACAAAACAATTTAGTTGAGCTTACAGTTTCAGAGGGTTACGGTCCATGATGGTGGCAGCAGGAACAGCTGAGAGCTCATCTTGATCACCAGACAGGAAGCAGAAAAGGCACTGGGAACGGCCCTCAAACCCTCCCCTGTGCACATCTCCCCCAACAAGAGCACACTTTCTGTTCCTTGCCAGAGAGTTCCACCAACTGTATTCAAACACTGAGCCCATGGCCTTCTCAGTCGGCCAGCACATCTCCCTCACTGTCCTGTGTGCACAGGCCTGCTTGGACAGCGACACCTGTGTGAAATGCTGTGTGGGCTTTTGTTTATTCACATAAGTTCCTTAGGAGAGACACCAGCTGAGAGACACAGAGATGCAGTCGTCTCGTGGGACACGGGTAGAAGCTGATACAGAACGTGGGATCATATTCCTGACCTGGCTTTGTCTTGACGGATCTGTGTCCCAGGTGCCTAATGAGCCTTGGGCGTGTCTTTCCTCAGCTGCCTAATGAGTGTCGGGTGTTTTCTCCTCAGTTGCTCTGGGTGCTCCTGTTGGCCACCATCGTGGGGCTGCTGCTCCAGCGCCTTGCAGCGAGACTTGGAGTGGTCACCGGCTTGCATCTTGCTGAAGTATGCCACCGTCAGTACCCCAAGGTGAGCAGCACACTGTGTGTCTGGCGTCGTGTGCTGGCCCCAGTCTGCACTGAGCTGTGGAGGACTTGGAGTCGGTGAACTTGAAACTGGAAGGACTGAAGGAATCCTACCGTCTCTCTTGCCATCAATCCATGTCTCTCCTTCAGAATCTAATATGGGACTTGATTTTTCATTGCTGTTGTGAGACAGACTCATGTAGACCAGGCAGGCTGGCATTGAACTCTGTACTTAGCCTAGGATGGCCTAGAACACCTAAGGCCTGTTTCTGCTTCTTAGAGTTACAGGCACACACCAGTTTCCTTGGGAGAGTTAGAGCTACACACAGTTTCCTTAGTAAACTCTGCATGAGGAAGCATCCACCAGTCACTCTTGTTTTTGAAAAATACGTTTTCTTTTAATAAAGTCTATGTTGTAGGAGCTTTGGATTTGCTGAATATTATCGATTTGCTCTGCCCTATGCCTTCCTTCTGAGTGCCTTTCCACCACCTAGAATGTGAATGGCTGCTATTGGAAGACCCTGGCCCAGGCGGTGCTTCACACACTTAACCAGTCCCCAGAGGTCGAACTGCTCCGGTCATGGCCGAGGACAGTTTTAACTTAGTTTTGTCGTAGATATGAAACGGGCCTCCCTGAGTGCGCCCTGAATGCTTAGTCTCGCTTCTGACTGTGAGCGTGGAGGTTTTGTGTTATGGTTTTTCTTCTTGATTCTCCTAGACTAGTCTGTCGGTCATCAGTATGTCAGTCTGTCTGTCTGACTGACTGACTCACTGTCCCTCTCTAGCTTAGGATGTTCTTGAACTCCTGATCATCCTGCTGGAATTCCTGAGTGCTGATGTTGTCGGCATGTGCTATCTATCATATGTGATAAATACAAACTTATTTTTACCAACTTTTTAGAAGATTTTGCTGTTTTATAATTCCCTTTTCTTTTTATTTGTGCACATTAATGGGTATTTGTGACAGGAAACTGTGTGTATTCAGTATCTACAGGGTCCCTAGTGCCAGTAAACCAGCACGAACTGTTTGCCTTTCCATTCAGCTGCTGGTCCAGGTTGAGTTTCCTTGTTTGCTGTTTTCTGTCTATTCTGAATATTTACTTTAAATACTTTTAAAAAGAGATTTATTTTTATTTTTTAAGAATATAGGCCGGGCAGTGGTGGCGCACGCCTTTAATCCCAGCACTTGGGAGGCAGAGGCAGGCGGATTTCTGAGTTCGAGAGTTTGGGGCTAGCCTGGTCTACAGAGTGAGTTCAAGGACAGCCAGAGCTACACAGAGAAACCCTGTCTCAAAAAACCAAAAAAAAAAAAAAAAAAAAAAGAATATATATATATATGTATGTGTGTGTGTTTGGGTGTGTGCATGTGAGTGTGGTTGTCTGCAGTGGCTTCAGAGGCTGGGATGGGTGGGTGCAGGCTGGACCCTTGAGGGAATTGGGAGCTGGGAGGCTGGGAGTCATGGGTGCTGGGAGCTGGCCTTTAATATCGTCTTCTGCAAGAGCAGTACGTGCTCTTAGCCACTGAGCCATCTTTCTAAGCCCCTTACCTTGAATATTTTGCACATATCTTTTTCACTTCTTATATATATATATTTTTTGGGGGGGGTTGGTTTTTCGAGACAGGGTTTCTCTGTGTAGCCCTGGCTGTCCTGGAACTCACTCTGTAGACCAGGCTGGCCTCGAACTCAGAAATTTGCCTGCCTCTGCCTCTCAAGTGCTGGATTAAAGGCGTGTGCCACCACCGCCCGGCTTATATATTATTATTAAACTTAAGATGATAAAGTCTGTCACATGTTTGTTTTGGAACCGTAGTTATGGGCAAGTTAGAGGTTTTAATTTCCCATTTCCCGTTCTCTCTTGACTCCCATTTTGAGCATATTTGTATATTTATTTTCCTCTGTAACTTTTTAGATTGTTTCTAGGCAATAGAGTAAGTGGAGAGTAATGAATGGAAATCCCGTTCTTCTCCTGAAAAGAATTAAGGAGAACCGAAGAGCTGGGTTGGCACCCTGACTTCAGTTCACAGTCTCCCACGGGAAGTACTTTTCTACTCTGTGGTGTGCTGTGTAGGACTCAGTTCTGCTAGTGCTCCAGTGGGGGCTACGTATGGCTGACTGTGGGTCTATGACAGAATCTGAATCTTGAACGAAAACGAATCATCAGAACCACTCTTTGTTTTGTAGGTCCCACGGATCATCCTGTGGCTGATGGTGGAGTTGGCAATCATTGGTTCCGATATGCAGGAAGTCATTGGCTCAGCCATTGCCATCAATCTCCTGTCGGCAGGAAGGTGGGGGCGGGGCTTCCTCTAGAACACTTGTCAATCTGTCTCCAGGGAGGTGGAGGCGGGGCTTCCCTCTAGTACAGTGTCAGTACTAAACTGGTTCCAAAGCCAGAGTGGAAACGAAAAGGCAGTGTTTTAGTGTTCAGGATTCAACTAGCCTGAGCCACCTTATCTCCCAGCCTTAGCAGCGTGCATCTTCCATTCCCAGGATGGGCTGTATGCACTTCTGTTTAAGTGAAGTGTGCGGCATTTTGTTTGTATGCACTTATGTTTAAGTGAAGTGTGTGGCATTTTGTGGCACAGTTGCTTATCTGCAAGGCTGCTTATCCCACTGCACAGTGGGGTCCTTCTGCATCCGACCCATGCTTTTCGGCTGTGTGTCCCACACGTCTGACGCAGCAGGCTCTCAGGGAGAGTTCCAGTGGATGGGCTTCAGCTCCTCCAGTGCTCGGCTTCCTCCACTGTTCTCCCCCGTAGGACCTAGCTTTCCCGGGTGTTTGGTGTTGGACAAGATGTGAAGAAATCTTCACTGGGTCTTTAATCCCTCTTCTTATCTCTGATCTAGGGTTCCCTTGTGGGGTGGAGTCCTCATCACCATCGCAGATACTTTTGTATTTCTTTTTTTGGACAAATATGGTAAGGCCTGGAGCAGGTGGGTGAGTCCCAGCTGCTAGCTTCAGGCACACGGCCGTGGGGACGCCTGTCCTCTGTGCTCACTGCTGTACTTCCCCTTCAGGCCTGCGGAAGCTGGAAGCATTTTTTGGCTTTCTCATCACTATCATGGCCCTCACGTTTGGATATGAGGCAAGTGTTGCAGGCTGTTAACAGTTTGAAACAAAGTCTCATTTGTCTCATTTGTCATCTTTTATTATAAAAAGCAGTAATAGCAGAATAGTTTAATAGTTTTGAATCAGCAAAAAGCCAGGTACTTCTGGGCTGCTCTGAAAGGGATATAATACAGCCTATGGCAAGGACTCGTGTGCAGGAAGGACTCGTGTGCAAGCAGGGTTCATGTGCAGGCAGCATTCATGTGCAGTCAGGGTTCATGTGCAGGCAGGGTTCGTGTGTAGGATGGGTTTGTGTGCAGGAAGGCCTTTAGAGATTTTTGGGAGCATTAAAAATGACTAGACTCCTCAGGATCTTTCAGGACCATCATTTTTGGTCCCAGGTTAGCCCCTTTGACACAGAACAGCTTTGGTATGGGTTTATAGAGGAGGCTCAGGGTTATTACTGACTGCTGCTAACTCAAAATGGTTCTGTTTGAGTTTACCAGGGCTGGAATTAATTAATCATAGTCTGACTGTTTCCTGTATTAAAACAGTTGACGGTGAGCTGGACAGGGTGGTGTACACCTTTACCAACTGCTCAGGAGAGGGAGTAGGCTGGTCTCTATGAGTGTCGGCCCTGCTTGATCTACCTAGAGAGTTCCAGGGCAGCCAGGGCTCCAGAGTAAGACAAACTGTTGAAGTATAGGTGACTGATTATTTTCTTGGCTTGTTCTTTGCCCATCCCTAGAGATCAATACCATTATTTGCAGCTTTTTAAATGTCCAGTTTTTATAAACTAATTTTTACTTACAGGCCTGTTTAAACATTAAAAAGATGTCTAGGCTGTGAATCAATTTTTCCAGATTGTCCCAAGAGAATTCTATGTTGTCTTGAAGAGAAATCCTGTCCTAAGAGGAAGTTGGAGTGAGCATGACTCCCTTCCCTGTACACTTATGTGGTGAGGAACCACCCACTCCCCACACACTCGTGACAGCATAGCTGGTTTCTAGGTGAGCAGATGAAGAAGAGCATGTGGGGCCAGATTCAAGAGCTGGACAGTTGTTGGTCTGCGTCGGCAGCTACAGTGATGCAGATAACAATGGCGAGACCTTCAGCCAGCTCCTTACCTCAGAACACTGCGTTCTCTGCGTATCTGCCCTGCACTTCTCTCTCTTTTTTTTTTTTTTTCGAGACAGGGTTTCTCTGTGTAGCCCTGGCTGTCCTGGAACTCACTCTGTAGACCAGGCTGGCCTCAAACTCAGAAATCCACCTGCCTCTGCCTCCCAAGTGCTGGGATTAAAGGCGTGCGCCACCACCGCCCGGCTTGCCCTGCACTTCTCAAAGTGTCATGTAAGATATTCAGAGTATACAGGCCTGAATCCTCTGAGCCCTGGCATTAGTCATCTTTGTGTAACTGTAACCAAAATACTGTGGAAAACAATGGGAGGAGGGAGCTCTGTTTAGCTAGGGTTTCAGAGGGCTTGGTCTGGCCTGTAGTTCTTGGGCAGGAGGTGTGTGTGGGAGACTCTTTACCTCAGAGCAGACAGGAAGCAGGGCATTGACCTACATTTAGGTAGGTTATACCTGCCAGTGTTTCCACCGCCTCTCAAAATAGTACAGCCAGATAGGACCTGAGTCTGGTTATGAGCCTGTGGCGGGCAGTTTATACTCAGACCACAGCTGCCCTTTGTTCCTTTTCGTTGATGGGGCTGGAGTCCAACTCAGGGCCTTGTGAATTCTAGGCAAGTCCTTGCTGACTGCACACTCCTCGTGCTCCAGGCAGTTGTTACAGAGGTGGGAGGGAGTGAAGGAGGTGGGTTCTGCCTGCTGCTGCTCTCCACTGCCTGCTGCAGTGAAGGCTAATGGGTGTTGTGTTGCTGTGTAGTATATTACAGTGAGGCCCAGCCAAAGCCAAGTTCTCAGGGGCATGTTCGTGCCGTCCTGTTCAGGCTGCAGCACCCCTCAGGTGGAGCAGGCGGTGGGCATCGTGGGAGCCGTCATCATGCCGCACAACATGTACCTGCATTCTGCCTTGGTCAAGGTGAGCGGCAGTGTTAGAGCCCTGAGGGAGCAGGCTTTCCAAGGCTGGCTGGTCAGGGTTTATCACCACATGGACCAGAAAAAGTGACCACAAAATGGCGGGCTAGTGTTCTTCAGGAAAGCCTGGAGTCTTGAGGTCGGGAGGAGAGGAGGGCTGTCCTAGCAGGTCAGGTGATTCTTCGCTGAGATAGTTCAGACACTCGACGATTCGTCCACTAGCCTCGGGACTGAGGTTAGTCTGTGGTCCTCCACAGTCTCTGGGAGCTCGGGAGTCGCCTGGGCACTGGCTCCCCCACTTGGGGCTGTGCAACGTTGTCAGAGGTCGTGGAGTCTCGTGGTTTAGGGAGCTGAGGCTGCCTTTTTCACCCGTCAGTTGTCTGCTCCGTCCTCCAGCTGACTGCAGACTTCTGAGCTGTTACAGAGAGACGGCTCCTGGTGGGAATGACTGCCGCTCTTCTCTCTAGTCTAGGCAGGTGAACCGGGCCAATAAGCAGGAAGTGCGAGAAGCCAATAAGTACTTCTTCATCGAGTCCTGCATCGCCCTCTTTGTCTCCTTCATCATCAATGTCTTCGTCGTCTCTGTCTTTGCTGAAGCATTTTTTGAGAAAACCAACGAGCAGGTGGTGAGTGCCGGTGACCTGCATGCCGGGGTGACCTGCATGCCGGGGTGGGGCAGACAAGAGCAGTGACCTGGAACCCAGGGAAATCTGTGTGAAGCCTCAGTATCGCCCACTCAGTTGTCACACCACATCCAGTCTGCAGTGTGGGGCTGCAGACACCTGCTGGGGGCGGGGAGGAGCGGGCCTTGGACTCCACTTTGCCTCCTGCTCTCATCTGCCATTTCTGTCCCTTCCTGTTAGCTTCTGCTCACCTGTCTGCTCTGCTCCCCCCGATGTTTGAGCTGAGGCCAGGTTAGGGGGAGTCCCCCAAAACAGAAGCACACACTGTGCAGGACAATACTCGAGTCATTTTGAGTTCTGTGTTCTCCTAATTCTTGCTGCCCATGGATTTTGTTAGTTTGGTTTTCCTTTGAGATTTTTTTTTTGGGGGGGGGGGGGAAGGGGGTTGAACCCAGGACCCTGTGCATGCACACACGGTGCTAGACAGGACCCAGGACCCTGTGCGTGCACACACGGTGCTAGGCAGGCACCCAGATTCCTACCTACTTGTCACCACTCTTTCCCCAGGGCCTTTGACCCCTGCTTGCATCTGACTCCTGATGTCCTGGCACATTTGAAGCCTCCACTTCGTCTTCTCTTTTTTGTTTTGATTTGGGTTTTGGTTTTTGAAAAAGGGACTCACTGTGTAGCCCTGGTTGGACACTCGAAACTCACTAAATTGACTAGGTTGATGTAGAGTTCACAGGAATCTGCCTGCCCATGCCTCTCAAGTACTGAGATTAAAGGCGTGCACCACCACACTGGGCACGTCTCTTAGTTTAGTTTTGTTTTTTAATATAGGCTCTCTCTGTGCAGCCCAGTCTGCTCTCAGCTTTGGGTCTCTTCTGTCTCAGCCTCCGAGTCCTCCACGGAAGCCCCCAGAGTGCTCTCTCCTCTTAGTGCCCAGTGCTCCAGTCTTGTCTATTGCCATGCACGCTCTCTGGAAACATTTTGATGCTTTGGGATATAAAAGCCCAGGGAAGGCTGCCAGCGGCAGTGCTCTGGGGCGCCTGTGTCCTACAGCTTGTCTCTCACAGAGAAATTTGGTGAGACAGATAAGGGAGTTCTTACCTAGTTCTTATTTCTAAAATAAAAATTGTTCTTAAACTGCTTTGGGCTTTAGGTTGATGTCTGCAGGAATAACAGCAGCCCCCATGCGGGCCTCTTTCCCAATGACAACTCTACTCTGGCTGTGGACATCTACAAAGGGGTAAGCACGCTGTTTGCACTCTCTACTTTGTGGAAGATGCTAGCATAATCTCTGGCCTCTGAGTTTGTTTCAGATCGGAGCATAACTCCTGAGTATCTTTTATTTTGGGGGCCCATATGCCAGGAACACATTTGGGGTTCTATGGGGCCGGGGGCAGGGGCAGGTAGCTGATGGGCTGAAAGATTGCATAGCAGGGACTCCTAAGGATCTGCAGGCGCTGGCTGGAACGGCAGAGGAGGAGCTTGGTGACGTTGGGTCACTAGGCTCTGCTGGGGCCAGTGATCCCAGCAGATCCCAGTGACCCCAGGGACAGAGTGTACTGCGCTGTCTGCATGCCTCCCCCCACTTACCAGAAATGTGCATTGAGGAGTTGTGTTGGAAGTGTGGGCTGCCTCTTGATTGTTTAAGGTAGAGGTTAGAGATGAGGGCCCAGGAGCGGAGCGAGGAGGGAGGGCTGGGCTGAGGGATGCAGGGCACCAGCAGAGCGAGGCTAGAAGCCTCCATGGCAGAGCCGAGTCAGCAGGACTTCTGTGCAGTGTCCAGCGCGGTACTTGGTGTGCTGGTGCTCCCGAGCAGAGGGTGGTGCTGCAGAGGGCTGCTGCTCTGGGTGTTATCTGAGCAGGTCACTGACAAGCCTGTCTCTCCCTCCCTCCCTTCCCCAGGGTGTTGTGCTTGGATGTTACTTCGGGCCTGCAGCTCTCTACATCTGGGCAGTGGGGATCCTGGCTGCCGGTCAGAGCTCCACCATGACTGGAACCTATTCTGGCCAGTTTGTCATGGAGGTGCGTGCCGGGGCAAAATAGAGGGGTTAGCACACCGTGGAGTGTCTGACCCTGTACTTCTAAGGGGTTCCTGACTTCCCCAGGCATCTCTCTCCTGTCACGGACGGTCACCAGTGTCCATGTTTCCTTCCAGGGATTCCTGAACCTAAAATGGTCGCGCTTTGCCCGAGTGATTCTGACTCGGTCTATAGCCATCATCCCCACCCTGCTTGTGGCTGTCTTCCAAGATGTGGAGCATCTGACAGGGATGAATGATTTCCTGAACGTTCTGCAGAGCTTACAGGTGAGCAGGGAACTGGGGAAGCTCATGCAGCACTTAGTCAGCATTGACTGACCCTTGGGGACCAGGCCTCACGCCAGAACCCAGTCACTAGGGGTGACGGAGGGGAAGGAAGAGGCATGGAGCCTCATCAGTGATGAGCTATGCTTAACACCACACGGTGGAGACCGCCAAGATGGCTCTGTGGAAAAAGCGATAGCTATGTAGTTGTCCAAGCCTGAAGACCTAGATGTGGTCCCCTGAAGATGCAGTAGAAGGAAAGACACTGTCTCACAGGATTGTCCTCTAACTTCCGCATTCAGCCATGGCACGGGCATGCCCATCCATCAGTCCATCCATGCCTGTCTATCTACCTATCTCCCCACTCAGTCTCTGCCTATCTCCCTCTCTCACACAGATAAGTAAATTAGTGATAATTAAAAGTCCACTAATTCATGAGCCTTGTAGCTCATTAATGCCGCAAGGTAAATCATTGTATGAGTTCTGAGAACACTGCTAACACCTGTGGAGCCTCTGAGACAGTGACATCCAGTGTGTCATTTGTTTATTCTCATCGATGTGTGTTGCGTGTAGCTTTGCTGCCCCGCCTAAGCGCCGGGAATGGGCTGCGCTCCCAGCCCCCACCCAGAGAATATGGATCCACAGATGAAACAGACACACATCGCTCAGTTTCAACCTGCCTTTTTGGCATAGTTGCTGGCATTACTTATCTCCCGCCTGGAGAAGCCTGCCCTTCTCAGTAGTCTTAGCTCCACACCGCTCCACCTTCCCTCAGCTTCAGCTCCTCAGGTACTTCTAGTCTCAGCTCAGCATCCCCAACTGTGGAGTGGCCACTCCACCAGAAATCTCACGTGGCTTCGTGGCTCTTCTCCAAAGCATGATGGACTATCCCTTCCTCACTCTCCTGCATCTGTCTCTTTCCTCTGGTGACCCAGAAGTCCCGCCTGTTCGTCAGCCAAGCAATTGGCCTGTGGCTTCTTTACTGATAGATCAAGAACTATCGAGAATAGGCCCATCAGAACCACCCAGCATATGTGTGTCAGTGTTTTACCTTTGTGTGTGTGTGTGTGTGTGTGTGTGTGTGTGTGTGTGCACGCATGCTGTGTGCGCTTGGAACCAGAAGACTTCAGAAGAAGGCATCAGGTCCCCTGGCACTGGAGTTACAGATACTGTGAGCTGCTGTTGGGTGCTGGGAACTGAGCCTGGGTCCTCCGCTGAACAGCCAAGCAAGCGTTCATAAGCACTGAGCCCTCTCTACACCCCCCCCAGTGTGCTTTTTGTTTAGATGAAGGCACTTAAGATCATGATTAATGCTGGGTTAAAAATAGTGTTTAGGGGCTGGAGAGAAGGCTCAGCGGTTAAGAGCACTGCCCGCTCTTCCAGAGGCCCCGAGTTCAATTCCCAGCAACCACATGGTGGCTCACAACCATCTGTCATGGGATCTGGCGCCCTCTTCTGTCTGGTGTGTCTGAAGACATGGACAGTGTACTCATATACATAAATAAATCTTAAAAAAAAAATGTTTGGCCAAGGCGAGGTGATGGGAATAGCTGTTACCCACGGTGTAGGTAGCTAAGACAGGGCTCATGATTCCTTTCTGTGAACCATGCGGTGTCTGTGGTACTCACACACTCTGAGCCACACGTATGCTGGGAAGCAGGAATGTCAAGACAAGAAGTTTCCATGGTGGATGTGGAGGGGGATAGGATCCCAGAGCCAGGCCAGTGCCAATGGCGAGCATTCCCCAAGGTCCCCAGGGCCCAGGCCCTGCCCCAGCTTCTCAGTGGTATCCTGGGACCTGGAAGTGTAAGCCAGATAGCCCTTCGGCAACACTATGTCCCCAGCTTGCGTTTCATCATCGTGTTTTACCACAGCTTCAGAGATGAAACCAACACGTCCACGTAATCCCATCTGACACGCCCACACGATCCCTCTGACACGCCCACACAATCCCTCTGACACGCCCATGTCATCCCTGCGATTCTGTTTTCCAGCTCCCCTTTGCTCTCATACCCATCCTCACGTTGACAAGCCTGCGGCCAGTGATGAACGAGTTCTCCAACGGAATGTGAGTCTACTTCCCATCTGCAGAGGGCGTGGGAGGGTGTCCTGAGAGCTGTGTGCTTCCAGAGCAACCGCTCTCAGCCTCTTTGGCAAGTGTGAGCTACGGGAAAGGAGGATACACTTCCTTCAGACCTCAGCACTCCAGCTGGAACTGCTGAGGTTTGAATTCAGTGTGGAATTAGCCAAGAGTGTCCTGTCCAGCAGGACATTAAACAGGGGTCCAGGGAGGTCACCTGAAAGGGAGCGGGGGAGCAGTCAAAGATGAAAGGAATCACGACCTGTCTATAATCTGATCAATTTTTACTTTTGCACATGCAGGTTATATACACAAAAAGACAGGATGTGGGGAAGGGGATGACGCATAAGCATAAGTGTTCAGGGGGAGTACAGTTATCTTCCAGAATGTCAGCTGGGTGAAGGTTCAGGAGACAGACCACTATGACTCCGCCTTGTCTTTATCTAAGTTGGTACTATCCATCAAGGTTACCCATCTACAAGGCCTTATGACTAGGCTTGGCAGCCTTCCACCAAAGCTGTCTGTTTACAATAACTCCCAGCTATCTGTTTCAGTGTTTTTCCACATAGACTCAAGATTTGGTGCTAACAGGCATGTATGTCAGGCCTAGTGCTGATTTTAGGCCTATGGCTGATTTTAGGCCTTCAGTGTATAAGCAGGGCTGCTCCCGACACAAGAGAGGCACAGGCTGATAATAGCGTGCACCTTGAAGTGATCCGTGGGCTGGTGTGGTATTAATATTAACATTTGTGATACAAGCAGCCACAGGCTGTGTTCTCATTTCATTTCTGCTGCTGTGATAGACACTCTGCCAACAGCAGCACAGGGAAGGTTTCTACTGCTGTGCATTCTGGGAGAAGCAAAGGCAGACTCAGATAGCTAGTCACATGACATCTACTGTCCAGAGCAAAGGGAATGAACACACCCTTGCTTGCGTGTTTGCTCTGAGCTAGCTTGCTCTATCTTGTTGTGTTGAGCATGCACTGGCTAGGCAGGGGAGCCTCCCAGAGTGGGCTGGTTATGCTTATATTAGTCTCTACAGATGTGCCACAAGCTGGCCTGGTGTTCCCAAGTGGCTGTGACAAGCTGGCAGTTAAAGTTTGTACTAATCGGTACAGATGTTCATGTGACCTGCTAGGTTTCTGGGGTCTCTAATTGTCACCACATTAGAGCAGGTGGGACCTGCAGAGTAGGACCTGCAAATGAGGCAGAGTAAAGTCAGCTTTATTCAGAGCCTCAGACAGTTTAGACTCTGAGGGGTGAGAATTACAGAGTAAAGTTCTCACGGGTTTTAGCTGTACATTTACAAGGACCAGCACAGATGGCAAATACATGCTTTGCTGTAGAGGAGTATAAAGGAGAATTTAAACATTTAATTGAGTGAATAACAGCAGGCAATAGTGAGCCATCTGAAGGAAACTCACTCCGCTCACTACACCCAGGAGGAGCAGCAAAACATGGTCTCTGGGTGCTCACAAGAACTGTTCTGTTTTGAGGGTCAGACCACAGGACTCTTGTTCCCTTGGGCTGTTGTCCCTGCTCTCAGAACTTTCCTCTCACGACTCCATTCCTGGACCGTGCTCCAGCGTGTAATGAAATGGCTTGGTGCATTTCTAGGACCTGCTGATTTCTAGGGTATTAAATGCGAGGTTTTTGTGCCACAGGAATGGCCCCGTGGATGAACATGCTGTGGCACAAGCCCGGCCACCTGAGCTCCATCTTGGAACTCATATAAGGGAGGAAGGAGAGGACTGGCCGTACAGAGAAAGTCCCATGGGTGCAGTAGCAGACATGTGCCCACACACATGCCCACACAGATAAATAGATAGACAGACAGAAGACATCCCTTCTGCTTCATCGATACTTTTGGCCTCTACATTTCCCTCAGCCCATGGGACGCAGTGTGTCCGCGTGAGCTGGACTGCCGGGCGCTCACTGTGCTCTTTGCGTTGCAGAGGCTGGAGGATCGCGGGCGGCATCTTGGTCCTAATCGTCTGCTCCATCAACATGTACTTCGTAGTGGTCTATGTCCAGGAGCTAGCGCACGTGGCACTGTACGTGGTGGCTGCGGTGATTAGCGTGGCTTATCTGACCTTTGTGTTCTACTTGGTGAGTCCGGTGTGAAGGGAGCAGGGCACCTATGGCGTCCGGGACGGTCCAGTGGACTGACTGTCCTTGAGAAACAAATGGTCCCCAAAGCACTGGTGCCTTAGTGTGGCAGTTTCATGGCTTGTCGAGTCGGTGGTTTCTGGAAGTTCATTAGTTTTTGTTGCTATTGGTACTGGAGATTACACATAAGGCTTATCCAGTGCCGGGTGTCTTAGGGTTTACTGCTGTGAACAGACACCATGACCAAGGCAACTCTTATAAAGGACAACATTTAACTGGGGCTGGCTTACAGGTTCAGAGGTTCAGTTAGTTATCATCAAGGTGGGAACATGGCACTGTCCAGGCAGACATAGTACAGGAGGAGCTGAGAGTTCTACATCTTCATCTGAAGGCTGCTAGTGGAAGACTGACTTCCACACAGCTAGAACTAGGATATTAAAGCCCATGCCCATAGTGACACACTTCCTCCGACAAGGCCACACCTCCTAATTGGGCCACTCTCGGGCCCAAGCATATTCAAACCATCACACGGTAACCATTTCAATACCACACTCTATTCTCAACCAGATATTCTTATTTCTAATCATCAAATATATTTTAGGTTTGTTTTTTTTTGTGTGTGTGTGTGTAGGGGTGGGGGAGTGGTATTTCTCAAGACAGGGTTTCTCTCCGGTCCTAGCTGTCCTGGAACTCAATTTGTAGACCAGGCTGGCTTCAGACTCGCAGAGCTCCTCCTGCTGTTGCCCCCTGAGTGCTGGGATTAAAGGCCCGGGACACTGCACCTGGTCTACTTTTGTTTTCTTTTCTTTATTTTTTTCCCCCCTTGGTTTTTCAAGACAGAGCTTCTCTGTGTGTCCCTGGATGTCTTGGATCTCATCCTATAGACAAGCTGGCCTTGAACTCAGAAATAACCTGCTTCTGCCTCCTGAATGCTGGGATTAAAGTCGTACACTACCACGCCCGGCTCCTAGTTTAGTTTTTAATACCTAGTATTTTTCTATTTCTGTTGGTTTTTTTTTTAAGATTTATTTTTTTATTTTATTTATGAGTACACTGTTGCTGTCTTCGGACACACCAGAAGAGGGCATCCAATCTCATTACGGATGGTTGTGAGCCACCATGTGGTTGCTGGGTACCACAACCTCTGGAAGGACCTCTGGAAGAGCAGTCAGTGCTCTTAACATCTGAGCCATCTCTCCAGCCCTTCTGTTGGTTTTTTAAATAAGGTCCAGTATTTACTATCTAAAGAGAATGTTAGGATATGTTTGAGAAATAAGATGGCTCAGTGGTTGCACAGCAAGTGTAAGCACGTGAGTTCAGATCCCAGGACCCACAAAAAGACACTACAGTGGTTGTGTGTGCCTGTGACCCCGGCATTGGAGAAAGGGAGGCTGCAATAGGAAAATCGCTGAGGCCTGCCAGCCTAGCTCTGGGTTCAGCAAGAGCTCCTGTGACAACAGGAAGCATAAGACACGTGTGCATATGACAGCAACTACAGATGCGTGTGCTTCCCAGTCTTTGCTACAGCAGTAAGAACAGATTCAGTCACCTGCTTGGTACAGAGGTTTCTGAAAATTACTAAGATAGGGGATAGGAAACAGCAGAAGGTCCACCATGTCTGCTGTGGAGAGTGTTGAAGAGGGAGGTTACAGTTCTGTTCTCTCTCTCGCTCCACACATGCCGTATCCCACATAGGAGAGTCTGATTGAGAAGATTCCTTTGGTGTATACTTGACTATGTGCCCTGGATCAGTGTGTCTTCCTTTCCTATAAACGTCAGGTACACCAGGATACACTGCTTACCATAGGACCTTGGAATCCCAATAACCCCACGTGTCCTTGACAGGACACGTGGCTCAAAGGTTAAGATCCCTGGTTAGAAGAGGTCCTCAGTTCAATTCCTAGCAACCACGTGGTAGCTCACAACCATCTGTAATGAGATCTGGTGCCCTCTTCTGGTGTGTAAGCATACATGGCAGGACACTGTATATTAGTTTGGCCAACTGTTCCTTCACTGAACTTGGTTGTTAAGGTGCTGAGTTGAGTCGGGACCCTAAGACTAGTGAGATTGGTTAAGCCCCAGTATTGGGGATAGGGCCAGGTCTGGATCTTGGTTTCTGCTGCTTAGCTCAAAGCCAAGAGCCTCCCAGGGCAGCAGTCCCACTGCTAGTCTGCAGCTGAGGCAAGGGTCTCCCAGCCTGATGGGACAGAGCCCTTGGAGGAAAGAGATGGGCACAGCTGGGTGCTTGGGGCAGGCAGGAGGCAGATGTGCCTCTGCATAGCACTGGGCAAGCCTTGCTGGTGGGAGAGTGACAACCGTGTTCTGTGTTCCAGGGTTGGCAGTGTTTGATTGCATTGGGCCTGTCTTTCCTGGACTGTGGACGCTCGGTAAGCATCTCTAAAGTCCTGCTGAGCGAAGACACCAGCGGTGGCAGTACTAAGTAAACACTGGGTCAGTCTGTCTGTCTTTGCAGGGAGCCATCAGAGCCAGTGTGTTTCTATGGTTTACTGTGTGAACATAGCCACAAGTATGTGCTGTTGCACAGACTGCATTAGGACTCAACTGTTAGTTGGGAAACACTGGTGTGTGTGTGTGTGTGTGTGTGTGTGTGTGTGTGTGTGTGTGTGTG